TACAACTCAACAATTGAAGAAGTAGGTAAGAAAAGTTGACATTGCCATTTAAAAAAATATTGTTTGCTTTTTTTTAAATGTTTATTTTTGAGAGAGAGCGAGAGAGAGAGTATGCGTGCTTGCCCACACAGACTTAGTAGGGGGAGGGCAGAGAGAGAGGGAGACAGAGGATCTGAAGCAGCTCTGTGCTGACAGCAGCGAGCCCCATGTGGGACTTAAACTCACGAACCTCAAGATCATGACTTTAGCCGAAATCGGACGCTTAGTGGATTGAGCCACCCAAGCACCCCGACATTGTCATTTTTAACACTTAAAAAATATATGTATATACAATTTAAGACATAAAAATATAGTTTATTTTTATCAATATAAATACCTGTCTTAGTCCAAAAAGGATTAAAAATGTCCAAAAAAGATTACAATGATAACTTTTCTTTCAAGTATTTTTAAAACATTCAGAATTGTAAGCAGATGACTGCCCCTCAGTGTTCATCACTCCAAGCTTTATTTAATATCTGGTACATATTCTGTCTCCTACTCTGGCTCAGATCAAGGCAATTCCCAGAGGTTTGTTGTCGGTGGTGTGAAGACAGAGAGAGAGAGGCAGGTCTGGGCCTTGCCCTATCTTACCCCCAAATTTCCCTTTTGGTGCATCCTGGATTCGTCTCAGTTTCTCTGGCCCAGGGTTGCCAAAATTGAGGACAAGTGTTTGTGTTATTGACAAGGGTCCAAAGGACTACAGAAGACCTGAGGCTTTGCTTTTCTACTTATCTCTATAGCGTTGATCTTTCATGCAGAAATTGGCTGGGAAGTTCCCCACTGTGTTTTCATATCTGCAGTGGTTTGGGGGTGGTTTAAATAAAAAATTAAATACAATTCTTAAAGCTTATTTTGCTTAATGTTATGACCAAGTGTACACTGAAAAGCTTTGCAGAAATTAGAATTATATATAATCACTATTAAAACCGTACAACATGACAAGAAACAAGTGTTGGTGAGGATGTGGAGAAAAAGGAACTGTTGTGCACTGCTGATGGAAATGCAAACTGGTTCAGCCACTGTGGAAAACAGTATGGAAGTTCCTTAAAAAAGTAAAAATAGAATTACCATAGGATCCAGTAATTCCACTACTGGGTGTTTACCCCCAAAATATGAAAACATGAACTCAAAGAGATATATGCACCCCTATGTTTATTGCAGCACTATTTACAACAGCCAAGATATTGATGCAACCCAAGTGTCCACCAATAGGTGAATAGATAAAGAAGAAATGGGTTGGATATATATATATATATATATATATATACACATACATATATACACATACATATATACACACATACATATATGTACACACATTTACCTATACGTATACATATACACATACCTATATGTATATATACACATATATGTATACGTATGTACACACATATATGTATACATATACATATATGTAGATATACACATGTGCACACACACATACATATAGTGGAATATAACTCAGCCATAAAAAGAATGAAATCTTGCCATTTGCAACAACATGGATGGATCTAGAAGATATAGTGCTAAGTGAAATAAGTCACTCAGAGAAAGACAACTAATACGTGATTTCACTCATGTGGAATTTAAGAAACACAACAAACTAGCAAAGGGAAAAAAAAGAGAGACAAACCAAGAAATAGACTCTTAACTATAGGGAACAAATTGATGGTGAAAAATAAATAAAAGAAAAAATATTGTACAACATTGGTGGAGATAAAAGATTTTTTCCTAAATGTATCTGCTTAATGCACTCTCTTTTAATAGAGTGTTTTATTGTCAATCTCTTTCCCTGTTTAATTATTTGAAAGATTTTAGTAACTGATTTTTAAACAAAATGAATAATATTATAATCATTTTAAATAATTTTAAATATAAAATGAATGATATGTAATCATAATATTATAATCATTATAATTCTGCACTAAGAAATATGCATTTGTACCTATTTGGAGAAATGTCTATTTAAGTCCTTTGCCCATTTAAAAATCGGTATATTTGTCTTTTTATTATTGCATTATAAGAGTTCTTTACATATTCTAGATGCTGTTCCCTTATTAGAGACATGGCATGTAAAAAATATTCTCCCAGTTTGTGGCTTGGTTTTTACTCTTTTGATGGTAACATTTGTGGCAAAAAAAGTTTTTAATTTTGATGTTTATTTTTTTCTTGCCAGTTGTGCGTTTGATGTCAGATCTACAAAACCATTGCCTGATCAGGTAATTAGCTTTCATGTCTCCTAAAGACTGTAGCAAAGGCTGAGTGAGCACTTACAGTAATGATGAGAGTGTGTGTGCGCGCGCGTGTAGACTTAACATTTTAGAGCACTTTTAGATTTGCAGCAAAATTGAGCAGAAAGTACAGAGATTTCTAAAATGCCCCCTGCCCCACACATGCCCAGCCTCCTTCACTATCAGCATTCCCCAGCAGAGTGGTACATTGTTGTTGTTGTTTTGAGAGAGAAAGGGGACTAAGTGAGCAAGGGGCAGAGAGAGAGAGAGAGAGAGAGAGAGAGAGAATCCTGACAGGGAGGGAGGGAGAGAGAGAGAGAGAAGCGGGGCTCACCCAAAGCGGGGCTTGAGTTCACCTGATGCGAGGCAATTTGTTACAATAAATGAGCCTGCACTGACACATCATTATCACCTGAAGTCCATAGTGTATATTAGGGTTCACTCTTGGTGCTGTGCGTTTTATGGATTTTGACAAATGTGAAATGGTATGTATCCATCATGATAATATCACATAGAGTGTTTTTACTGCCCTAAAAGTCCTCCGTGCTCCGCCTATTCATGTCTCCCCCTTGCACCTAACTCCTGGTAACCACTAAGTTTTTTACTGTCTCCATAGTTTTTGCCTTTTTTATGTAGTTGGAATCATACAGTATGTTGTCTTTTCAGACTTGCTTCCTTCACTTAGTAGTATATTTAAGTTTCTTCCATGTTTTTTCATAGCTTGATAGATTTATTTATTTATTTATTTATTTTTTAAATATTTTTTTATTTACTTCTAGGAGAGAGAGAGAGAGAGACAGCGTGAACAGGGGAGGGTCAGAGAGAGAGGGAGACACAGACTCCGAAATAGGCTCCAGGCTCCGAGCTGGCAGTCAGCAGAGAGCCCGACGCGGGGCTCGAACCCACGAACCGCGAGATCATGACCTAAGCGAAAGTCGGACGCTCAACCGACTAAGCCACCCAGGCGCCCTGATTTTTTTTTTTTTTTTTTTTAGCATGAATGAATACTCCTTTGTCTGGATATATGACAGTTTATCCATTCACCGACCGAAAGACATCTTGGTTCCTTCCATGTTTTGGCAATTATAAAGCTGCTATAGACGCCTGTAGGTAGGCTTTTGTGCAGACATAAGTTTTTAAGTACTTTGGGTAAATCATACTAAGGGGCGCAATTGCTGGATGGTATAAAAAGAGTATGTTGAGTTTTGTATGTAACTGCCAAATTATCTTCCACGGTCGCGGTACCATTTTGCAATATCCCCAGGAATGAGTGAGAGTTCTTGTTGCTCTGCATCTTTGCCAGTATTTGGTGCCGTCAGCGTTCTAGATTTCGGCCCTTCCACTAGGTGCGTGGTGGTATCTCACTGTTGTTCTACTTTTCATTTCCCTGATGACAGATGATGTTGAGCATCTTTTCATATGTTAATTTGCTTCTTTAGTCTTCTTTGGTGAGGTGTTTGTGCAGATACTTTGCCCATTTTTTAATTGGGTTGTTCATATTCTTATTGTTGGGTTTTAAGAGTTCCTTGTATATTTTGGATAATAGTCCTTTATCGGAGATGTCATTGGTAAATATTTTCTCCCAGTCTGTGGCTTGTCTTCTCTTGACATGTTTGTGTTTTGCAGAATCACTCCCTTCACATTCATTTATTGAGAATCTATTATGGTTCAGGTTCTCCCCAGGGCTTTGGGGATATAAAAGTGATTAGCACATAATCTTGCTGTTAGCCTAATGGAGGAGAAGTACATGTAAACAGGTGGTTAGAAGCTACTTCTGAGGCAAGCAGCTCAGGGTTCTTGAAGAGGAGGCTGAGACATGAAGGAAAGGGATTTGATAGCAGGCAAAGGTATAGAGGGACTGTTGGGTGCAGAAAACACGTCATCATTATGGCAAAAGTAAGTTATTGTCAATGTGATCATAAGCTGTTGTTGCTGTGGCTCCAATTTGTCTAGTCCAGAGCTAGGCAAACTATGGCTGTGGGCCAAGTCTGCCCTGCTACCTCCTTTTATAAATAAAGATTTATAGGAACACATTCATGCCCATTTATTCATGGATTGTCTATGGCTACTTCTCTCCTACGATGGCAGAGTAGTTGTAACAGAGACAGTCTGGCTTGCAAAGCTTCAAATATTTATTATCTGTCTCTTTATAGAAAAAGTTTGCTGACCCTGCTCTAGGCAAAAATTTATTAGAAAATGCTTGTACCTTGTCATTTTTACAAAAAGCATTGCAAATTTGCATGCACTTGGCAACTGTTTATATGCCTGGAAGTGATTTTGTTGTTTTTCAGAATTTTCTCCTGATTTCTTCTTTTTTAATTTCAGCTAATTAATTTTCATCCAACAGTTATGCATAATTGACTTAACTACAAATGATAGTAACCTGCTCAGCCCCTGAAAAGAAACTTAAATATTTGCTCTTTTTTTCCTTGAAAGTTGTATTGTTTCTTTCATGGTTTATGTTTCTTTCTTTTTAAAATTAAATGAACAAATTCATGTTCAGTTCAGGAAAGTCAGGTATCATGGACAAGCAAAAGAACATTAACCCATAATCTCTCCTATCCTCGTAGGAAAAAAAACCTTTTTGGACCCTCAGTATGTAACCTTTGCGGTTCTTTTCCATGCATATGTGCGTGTTTTATTATAAATGTTTACATAGACCATCCTCTGCTACTGTCAAGTATCTTTAATAGGCATATGCTTTCCTTTTTCTTTCAGTATCTTCATGATTTCATGTGGTCAGGAGTGGTCTACTGATGGAAGATGCCAAGGAAGGTGACCACAGAGTTACCCATATTTTTGCATCCTTTTGGGAACAAAGGGAAAATGCTACAAGAAGTGAATTGGTTGGCTGCCCCACAAAACTGCTGAGTAGTCAGGTATCATAAAGCTGTCTTTGCCTTTCTGGATACTCCAAGCACAAGAGCAGAGCCCAAAAACTCGAACTTGATACCAGTTATCTATTGCCCCAGTAAAGCTGCATGATAAACCAGCACAAAGCCTTAGTCTTAAATAACAATACGATCTATTGCTGGCACATGTGGGTGGTTAGCTAGGTGGCCCTGTGCTCTCTGCTGGGCTCACGCATCTGGGGCTTGGCTGCTGTAGGTTCCTATAGGCTGGTCTTGCCTGATTGTGGCTTGGCTCACTCATGTGTCTGACAGTCTTTGGTGGGCTTGCTCTTTTATCTGGGGTTCGTCTGGCTATTGGCTGATTTAGGCTGACCTCAGCCACTTTGACTGTGTCTTTCACGAGAGGTATGTGAGAGAGCAGGTGGGGACGTGCAAGGCCTCTTGTGGTCTAGGCCTCACCTACTGGACAAAGTGCATGGGTGACATCAGACTGAAGGGGTGAGGATATAGACTCTGCGTCTTTAGTGAGATGAATGACAGAATGACATGGCAAAGTCATGGAGACAGAGGCAGGTGGAGAATTGGTGCAGTCAGTCTTCCATAGACTAGTTATGTGGCTGAGGGCACTACAGGTGATACGTACCTTTCAGGAGGAGCAGGAATTTCATTTGTGGCTGATCTAAGCCAATGCTTGTCAAGTGGTGGTAACTTTCTTCCTGTTTGCCATCTCTAAGAAGAACTACTCTGTAAAGGACTCCTGGCAACTACTCTGACATTTCTTTCTTTTGATTTTCTTTATGTTTTTAGAAGTTATCAGGTACAGATTCGTTTTTTCTGCTTGTTCTGGAGTGATGTGAGATGGGAGAGGACATGGCCTGTGCCACTTAACGACAGATCAGTTTCCACTAACAAAGCTGGAAAACCTTTTCAGCCTTGCTAGTTTGTAAGATTGTTATAACTGGAAAAGCTTTTCTTTCAGATAAACTTTAAGAAGATGTCTCGATTTCTTTGTGAGAAATTATTAGCCTTCTGAAAATCACAGTGCTCACATTGTGATGTCTACTTTTTAAGAGTTACCTATTTATATCGTATTTTTTCATTTCTCCTTTAATCTTAATATCTGTATGCTAGGAGATGGGTGTTTGCAAGTTTTTTTGTTTTGTTTTGTTTTGTTTTGTTTTTTTGGTCCTGAGACTGGGCTAGGTTATAAGGTTGTGAAATCTGAGGTTGGTAGGAATTACCTTGGAAGGGACTTTCAGTTTGCCTTTGGTTTATCTTTTAACCTCACCCACCATCTTGCTTTCTGTTCCTGAACTCATTTCTCCAACTTCCTACTCCTTTCCTGGGTCTAGAGGCCTTTTGGGCTTGTCAAAGTACTGTATGATAAGTATGTTTGTATCGACATGTTACTAAGTTTATACATTATTCTTTTTAAGGTTATTTATTATTATTATTATTATTTTTTAATGTTTTATTTGTTTCTGAGAGAGAGAGAGAGAGAGAGAGAAAGATAGTGTGAGCAGGGGAGGGTCAGAGAGAGAGGGAGACACAGAACCTGAAACAGGCTCCAGGCTCTGAGCTAGCTGTCAGCACAGAGCCCGATGCGGGGCTCAAATCCATGAACCGTGAGATCATGACCTGAGCCAAAGTTGGACGTTTAACCGACTGAGCCACCCAGGCGCCCCTATTCTTTTTAAGGTTATTGACTTTTAAAGTGGGACATAAGAAGAGGTGCAGTGCTTAATTCAAAGGAAAAACTCTCTGATAATTGAACTGAAGTCATCAGCATAGAAGAGGTATTACATTTATATTGTGAATTTTTCACAGTACTTCTCCCTTTATGTCATATAAATCATTACCCACTATGCTGAAGATAAAACTTGTCCTTGTTTTATTATTATTATTAATTAAAGTTTATTGATTTATTTTGAGAGAGAGAGCATGGGAGGGGCAGAGAGAGAGGTAGAGAGAGAGAATCCCAAGCGAGCTTCTTGATGTTGCTGTCAGTGTGGAGCCTGATGTGGAGCTCAAACGCACAAACCATGAGATCATGATCTGAACCAAAGTTGGGCACTTAACTAACTGAGCCACCCAGGCACCCCATTGTTTTATTACTATTTTAGTATTTATATAAACTATTAACTAATTGATTCTATAACAATATTATTATTATCATATAAGTTTGAATTTATTAGGCTCAGAGGGTAAGCCATTCTAAAACTCTTAACTCTTTGGGGCACCACCTGGGTGGCTCAGTTGGTTAGATGTCTGGCTCTTCGTTTTAGCTCAGGTTGTGATCTCATGGTTTAGTGAGTTTGAGCCCCACATAGGGCTCTATGCTGGCAACGCAGAGCCTGTTTGGGATTCTCTATCTCCCTCTCCCTTTGCCCCTCCCCAACTCAAGCTGTCTCTGTCTCTCTCAAAAATAAATTAAGTTTAAAAAATTAAAAAAAAAAACAAAACACCTCTAACTCTTTGGAGGAAGTTCTGTCTATTTAATGACAGCCACAAAATGTCATTACCCAGCAAACACAGTGGATGATGTATGGGCAGAAGCAGTAGTTTCTAATAAACCTAGTGTTTCTAGTTTACACTTGGACATCCAATCCTGAGAGCAACCCTGTATAAGTACACTGCATAGATATTATGATTTATTATTCCCATTTTACAGAAGAGGAAATTGAGGCTCAGAGAGTTTAAATGCCTTGGCTAGTTCATAGGGCTAAGTGAGGTAGGATACGGCTCAACCTGGTTTTGTCACTTTGAGCTTGGATCTCTTTTATATATTGGGATCTCAAAACTGCTCATGCCTTTTTGTGCTGGCTCTGTGAACTTTCCTGCCCCCACTGAAGTGTTTCAACCTGGGCTGCTGTGCCCAGAAATCAAGTGGAACAGGTATCTCGCTCTAAAGAGCCTGGTGGATTGGCTAGTGGTGGTTCGGTGAGTGGGATCAGACTTGGCCTCAGTAACCACCTCATCCCCTAGTGCTGAGATGAGTTGGGCTGCCTTTTCCCCACAGTGGGGACTGTTGTAGGAATTGTACCTCCCTCCAGGGCCTATCATGGAAGGTGAGTTCTATTAAACAAATGCATCACGGCCTGGCATCAGTGCTGCCCTTAGACCAGGGAATGGCGGTGGGGGGGGGGGGGCGGGGCGGGGTAGGCTCCTGCTCTGGGCCCTTAACCTTAGAGGACCTCAGCACATCACAAATAATAAAAGGCAATGACTTTCAGAATTTTTTTGAACTCATAAAATTTTAGGGTTTAAAAAATTTTATTAATTTTTAACGTTTTAAAATCATCTTAAGAAGTATGACAAATAAATTATGTTATTGGGAATTATGGGCGAGAGACACACTGGCTGACCCAGGCCCTCCAGGCCAAAAAGCAACTCCCCCCGCCCCCCCCCCCCCAACATCTCACCACTTTGACCAGGGAAGATGATGATAGGCTGAGAATCTGTAAATGTATATGTGTGGATGAGTGTGTCAGGAAAACACTGCTTCTGCCCCAGGAAACCAGAGAAAGAGTGGCTGCTTTTGTTGAAAGCTGACCATCCTAAATCACTCCTAAGTGGATGATTAGGCAAAAGGATTACCAGGTAACTGTTCCCTCCTTCCCTTCTGCTCAGCGGGTGTAGTTTTGAGAAGTTCTTAGAACTGCCTGAGAATCTTGAGTTGATAAAGTGCCTTCCCAGGTTTCTTGGGGAACTTGACCTGGTTGATTTGGGGCAGATCCAGTCAGACCTGGGTCTGGCTTTCATTGTGTCCTACCCCACAAAAACTATTCTGTCATTTAGACACACCGACAGTAGGGCTGGCTACTGGAGGAAGCCTCAGCAACTTTAGCCTGTCTGGAGGAATGGTGGCCCCCAGACTGTGGAGTGTTGGGTGGGAGTATGGGCTAGGCTATTGGTATAGCTTGGTTTGTAAGCTCTATATCAGTAGACTTGTGGAATGTGAACCTCATTTGTATTCTTGCTTTCAGACTTTGCAAATGTTACTTTGCAAAGTAGCTTTGAGGGCTTTATGATCTTTGCAACGTTGCTTTGAATCCCTTCTCTGGGTTACTTTCTATTAGTTGAATTGTGCCCCCCCCCCCCCACAAAAGATAGATTGAAGTCTTAACCCTTGGTACCTGTGAATATGAGAAATAGCGTCTAGAATGTATGGATATAATGCAGATAGAATCAATTTAAAGATGAGGTCATTAGGGCAGGCCATAACCCAATAAGACCAGTGTCTTCTTTATAAGAAGAGGAAAAACATCAAGTAAAGACAGACAAGACACAGGGAGAAGATGGTCATGTGAAAATGGAGGCAGAGACTGGAGTGATGCATCCATAAGCCAAGAAACCCCTGAGGCTTCCCAAACCTGGAAGAGGCAAGGAGGGATTCTCTTCTATAGACTTTGGAGAGAGCGTTGCCCTGCCAACATCTTGATTTTGTACTTCTAGCCTTCAGAACTGGAAGAGAATAAAACTTCTGTTGTTTAAAGCCACCAAGTTTATGGTACTTGATAACTACAGCCCTAGAAAACTAATACACCTTCAAAGATGGTCCTGGAGCCACCTCAAGAAAATCAGCCTCATTCTTTGGAGATCATCCCCTCTTGAAGACTTTGTCAATGATAAACACAGTCCTGACCAAAGAAGGTGGAAGGGTGTAGGGGTCGAAAAAATTTACCTTCTTCTGTTCTAGATTCTTTGGCTGTTTTAATAATTAAGTCAGTATTTGACAGATTAACAGGAGGAAAACAAATTTAGATTTATACATAAAGAAGCCCCATAAAAATGTGAGATCCAAAGGCAGTCAGGCAGTTGAGTCTTATATGACATCCTTAGCTAAGAAGACATGTCTGGGGATCCAAAGGGGAGAAAGGCCATTCACAGGAAAGGGAAGGAGAACATTGGGAAACAAAGGCTGCCCAGTTACACAGATACGTTTCTTTTTTTTATTTATTTACTTAAAACATTTTTTTAATGTTTTTTATTTCTGAGAGAGAGAGACAGCGTGAGCAGGGGAGGGT